CGCTGAGTCGTCGACCTCACTCTCCCTTCCCATTCCCACCCCCCAGCCACTGTCCGAGCCGGTCAGTAGACTGGAGTGGGGAATGGGCGCGGTGGCTGACATGGTCGACTGACCATGCCTGCGCGCGCCACAGCACGACCTGTCCTCCCATACACACAAACACTAGGATTTCACACAACGGGGGTTCAACGGCGTGTCTCTCACTTGCGTGAGAGTGCCGTGGAAGGTGCTGTTGCAGCCCGTCCCCAGCCCACCAGTCCGCCACTCCTCACAACACACACACACACACACACAACGTGACGAACTGCGTGAACCGAGAGCGGGCCTCAATCAGCAACCTTCCTATCCACGACACTTGACGTGTCGGGATAGTCTTGGACACAAGTCACCCGTGCAGCCGAAACCGCATGGGGACCGAGTCGAGATGCACACTTCCCACTTGTGTGGGAGGCGGCAGTTGAGTGCATGAGGTGTGTGAGGGTTGATGTCTGGTGGGGTGATGGTGTTAGGAGGTAGGGGGTGAGGGAATGTGTGGTGTGACCGGCGGTTGTCTACCGTAGTTCATCGTGGATGCGCATGTGGCCGAATAGACCCATGCGATGCGCGAAGGTGCGAGGGCAGTGTGGGCAGTGGAGGCGAGTGCGGTGGGTGTAGGTTGGTGCTCCAGGCACTGGTTCGCCAGTCTCTGTGCGATGGATTCGCAAGAGAACCACCAGGCCGATGCGTGAGGTGAAGTTGCGTGGACAATGTGGGCATGAGAGTTTGGCGGTGTCGGTGTCATCTGTAGAGGAAGCAGTGGTGGCGGTGGTGGTGGTAGCGGTGGTGGTGGTCGGCGCGTGTGACGGTGGAGCGAGGTTGGGTATGGGCGTGGTGGATGTGTTGGATGTCGTGGCTGTATCGGAATTGTGGTCAATTCCGCTCTCGTGGATGCGCATGTGGCCGAATGGACCCATGCGATGCGTGAAGGTGCGAGGGCAGTGTGGGCAGTGGAGGCGAGTGCGGTGGGTGTAGGTTGGTGCTCCAGGCACTGGTTCGCCAGTCTCTGTGCGATGGATTCGCAAGAGAACCACCAGGCCGATGCGAGAGGTGAAGGTGCGGTCGCAGTGAGGGCAGGTGTAGTCCTGATCCTCATCACTGGAATCGGGAGAGGTGGGGGTGGTGGCGGTTATTGTGTCGGGGTTGGTGATGTGTGAGACAGCAGTCTGAACGGCCGCCGCTGGGGCAGTGGAGGAGAAGGAGGAGGATGGAAGTGGTGGTGCAGAAGGAGTGTCAGTGTTAGTTGGCGGAATAGAGGACGAGGAAGAGGCGGGCGGGGGAACGATGGCTGGAGCAGGTCGAGAGGTGCAGTTGGTTCGGAGATGTCTAACATGTCCGATTCGTGCCCGGAATGTCCGTTTACATCGAGGACACGTAGGTGGAGGTTGTGCGGCGGCGTTGCGGACTGGGCGAAGTTGTGATTTGCGGGCTTCGCGTTTCGGTTTGGCGGCGGCGATTCGGTTGGCTTCATAGATAGCAGCGCCCGTCTTCACTGTTCTCCTCCATGTCGGGCGATCGCGAGCGAGCTCTTCCCAGTTGGTCGGGTTGATTTGTAGGCGCTTCAGGGAGGACTTCAAGGTATCCTTGTAACGGCGAATTTGGCCTCCTTGACGACGAGAACCCGTCGCGACGTCTCCGTAGAAGAGTCATTTGGGTAGTCGCTCGTCGTCCATGCGCACCAGGTGGCCGCTCCAGCGCAGCTGCATTTGTTTTAGTATGGCGTAGATGCTGAGGATTCCCGTTCGTTCCAGTACTTCCGTGTCGGGGATTCGATCCTGCCAGTTCAGCCTCAGGATGCGGCGGAGACAGCTGAGGTGGAAGTGGTTTAGTCGACGTGCCTGTCTCGTGTACATCGTCCATGTCTCTGCTCCGTACAGTAGCGTCGGCAGGATGACGGCCTTGTAGATCTTCAGCTTTGTGCTCAGTTGGAGACCATGACGATTCCAAACTGTGCTTTGGAGGCGACCGAAGGCTTGACTGGCTTTCGAGATCCTGTTGGCGACTTCGTCGTCGATCTTGGTGTTGCGGGAGAGCGTGCTGCCCAGGTACGGGAAGTTCTCTACCACTTGCAGTTGATTTCCGTTCACGTTGATTTGCGGCGGCGCGTTGGGGGCTGCGGCTGAGTTGGGCGGCGGTTGGTGCATCACCACCGTCTTCTGCGTGTTGATGACCAGACCGAAGTTCTCGCAGGCGGCGGAGAATAGGTCCATGCTCCGTTGCATCTCCGCTTCCGAGTTGGTGTTCAGGGCGCAGTCGTCGGCGAAGAGGAGTTCGTGCACGGTGGTTGTGGATACACGCGATTGGAAGTTCATGCGCCGTTGATGCAGGAGACGACCGTCCGTCCTGTAGGCGATGCGGATCCCGGGGCGTTCGTCGCGGTAGGCGTCCATCAGCATGGCAGAGAACATGAGACTGAAGAGGGTAGGCGCCAGCACACAGCCCTGCTTCACTCCGTTGGTCACTGCGAATGCCTCTGAGACAGCTCCGTTGTCCGTGACTCGCGCCATCATACCGTCGTGCAGCTGACGCACCATCTGAGTGAATCGCTCCGGACAGCCGAATTTCTGCATGATCTTCCACAGTCCTTCACGATTCACCGTGTCGAAGGCTTTCGTCAGGTCTTTGCCTGCTCACCGTCTCCATTTCAGCAATGAGCTAGCTCAACGGCTAGACAACCTTCCTATCGCTGCCGCCGCCGCTGCCGAGAACGCCTCCGTGGAGAACCGCTGGTGTCAACTGCGAGACACGGTCCAGTCGACGGCGCTCGCCGTCCTCGGTCGCGCTCCCCGCCAACACCAGGACTGGTTCGACGACAACGACGCCGCCATCAGAAATCTGCTTGCTGAAGAGAACCGCCTACACAAAGCCTACGTAGATCACCCCACTGAGGACAATAAAGCTGCCTTCTACCGCAGTCGCCGACAGCTTCAGCAACGACTGCGCGAGATGCAGGACGCCTGGACTGCTCGCAAAGCTGAGGAGATCCAAGGCTACACGGACCGCACCGAATGGAGGAACTTCTTCTCCGCGATCAAAGCTGTCTACGGTCCGCCGACGAAGGGCACTGCTCCTCTCCTCAGCGCCGACGTAGCACTCGCCTGACTGAGAAGACGCAAATCCTACAGCGATGGGCCGAGCATTTCCAGGGCGTCCTCAACCGCCCTTCCGTCATCTCCGACGCCGCCATCGCCCGCTTGCCGCAAGTGGAGACCAACGCGGACCTCGACCTCCCGCCATCTCTCCAGGTAACGATCAGGGCCGTGCAGCAACTCTCCAGCGGGAAAGCACCCGGATCGGACGCAATCCCTGCTGAAGTCTACAAGCACGGAGGTCCGCAACTGCGCTCTTCCAAGAGATGTGGCGTCAAGGTGAAGTCCCGCAAGATTTCAAGGACGCAACTATCTTGCACCTATACAAGCGCAAAGGGAATCGCCAAGTCTGCGACAACCACCGCGGCATCTCCCTACTGAACATCGCCGGGAAGATCTTCGCTCGCATCCTGCTCAACCGCCTCAACAACCATCTGGAACAGGGCCTTCTGCCGGAAAGCCAATGCGGCTTCCGTCGTCATCGTGGGACCACGGATATGATCTTCGCCACCCGCCAACTTCAGGAGAAGTGCCAGGAGATGCGGACCCACCTGTACTCTACACACACACACACAACAGTTCGTCCGTCGATTTCGACGATGACCACCGTGTGCCCCACAGACTGCATTGTGGGAGCAGGGACGGTGACTTACGCAGGGGTTTATAGCTCAGCTTCCGTGACAGCGGTATTTTTTGTCGTCCCCTCGACCGGTAAGCTATCGTCTGCACAACTCTGTGTACAGAGAGCAATGACACGACGGCACGGCATAGTCACTCTTGCGAAGTAATGTTGTGGACTGTATCTTTCTAGAACTACTCAGGTCCGTAGGAAACGCTAATCCGAACGACTGGCATATTGCGCATGTCGATTTTGGAAATTTAGCATTCCGCATGTTGAAGGATTCCAGTGCGTGCACTTGACAAGTTAGTTGCATGTGCGGTGGTCTTGAAAATTTGTAGTCCGTTGTACTGGGCTGTCATCGTATGAATGACTAGACTGCCCCTTGCCTGCATATGAAGGGAATTCGCCGATTAGGTGACGGGACGTCCTCGTACCATTGCGAATTGGGGCCCAATTTAGGACCCTTGAAGGCAGTCGTCCAACAAAAAGTACTATATTCAGGGAGAGGGGGATAGCCGTTTTGGTTTACAGGCCTTCGCCAACGAAACACATTTAACCCTTTGGTTGCAGAAGCTGGGATCTGCACCTTGTCCATTGGTCACTGGATGTGAAGTCTACCGTTCTACCATTGAGCCATAGATCGTCGTCTTGTTAGTTACGACCTAGAACATCCACTATTACGGGGTGAAATTAACTGACCAAAAATTACCATCGTAGGCCTCTTGTCTCTGTCTGTATGCCTTCTCCGAAAACGCTTTTGGGGATAGTAAATTTTTCGATCGTAACCGACAAAACAAGGGGGTCTGTGATTCAAGGATGGAGCGTTGGACTTAACAACTTCCAACGATCAACGAATCCGAGTTCGAATCCCAGATCCTGCAAGCCTGGGGTTGGGTATGGCTGAGTGACGACGGCTGATAAGCCCGAAAAGGCATCTCAGCCTCCCTTGTCTTGCGGTATTCCTTCAAATATTTCCATAAATGTGGTAGGCTTTACTTTGGCAAAAAGGCAAGTTTAGGAACTTGTGTAAGCGAAATACCCAGGTGAGGCACTTTCTAAGGAAGTAACTTATCATAAAAGGTTCCACATCAATCAAGAACATTTTAATGACAGACCGCTGTGAACGCTCATTTTTTCGGCGATGAAGCTTCAAGTTTGGGTGAGTCTGGAAGTATGAACCCAACGGCCATTTGCATAGAAACGAACGACAGCGAACTCGCTACTTCGGTAAATACTTTCAAGTATATACGGCGAAGGTTTTGATGAGCACAAATTACGAAACCTATCTTCTCAAACAGTCGACTTAAAATCGTAGAGATGTCGCTGGCACTTTTAAGGTACTGTAACCCAGCGTAGTCTACCACCACCAAAAGATACACGGCAATTTTATGGAAGAAAAGGTCTTCTGATACACAGAAAATGGTATATTTAGAATTGCGTCTGATAGTTCTATTCCAATTTTCTATCATCCGATCATTCTCTAAGCATATAACCTGGCGAAACTCGCATTCTTGGGGCGTCTTTCTCAAGGAAATCAAGAAAAAGCGCGCTTTGTCTTAGTTGAACTCATCTCTATAAGTGCAAAAATCGAGTAATCACAAATAATTCTCTCGTAACCCTTTTAGAACACACACGCGACCGGCCAGCTGCCATATAGCATGGTAAATTATTTCTTCTGAAATATCAAAATGGAAACCATAAAAAGCGTATTAAACGTGTTATTTGAGTCCTCTAGTTATTTGTATAGACGGGCCTCATTTTCCCCAACAAGTACGGTTAGCTCAACGGACACAAACTTTCACGTATTTGGAATTGCCACTTTTCTTCAAAAAATTACGAATTCGATGCAAAATTATATTACTTCAACAGTTATTTTGTGCTATCATTTGGGTGAAGGTCAATCGTCAGTAATTTGGTGTTTTCGCCGATGCACGTGCATCAGATTCTGATTGATTACAAAGGCCAGAATATAGCCAGCGCATCCATAAATTGATGACGTCTCTAAGGAATGGTCACCCGTCTCGTAAGGCTGCGGGCAACCGGTATCGCCCGCCGGCCGGAGTCAACAATTTGACATCTGTTCATGAGACCTAGAGCAAACCGTTGACAGTGCAAAACTGCGAACGCCATCTGTCGGTTTAATTGTACCTTCATTCCATAGACCGGCAGACGACTACAGACTATCACACGGGTGCCGCCTCCATCGGCCGTTATTTGGAGATTTCCGTAACCTATCAAACTTTCCGGACGCAGCTCAGTGAACAAAAGAGCAAACGCTAGCCTGGGCCAAACATAGATCCAAGCATGAGCGAGTCCATGGAGGACACGCACGTTGCTGCCCCACAACACGAATACGACGAAGGCGCAGTTAATACTACGGTCGTATTATGCACTAATCCGGCAGACGAGAAATCAGACAGTCATGATAGTGTAAACAAGGTTGGCAGTCTGGGACGACAGCTAAAGTCAAAGAGGGTACGGACAAAGACTGTCAAACTCTCGACGCTGGCCCTCGAAAAGAGGCACTAAGGTTGAGAACATTCCGTCACCCTCCCTTTCCCTCTCTTCTGACACGATTCCTGTGCGTATGCGGACGATGACTACTGAAGTCAGAACATCGTTGTGTCCAGACTCCTTCCTGTGGGGACTTCCGTTACTGCATCAAAGATGACTTATTTAAGAAAGAACTAGTTTACTTATATTGGCTATTCCAGTCCAATGGATACTCGGTCAACTTTGTAAAAAATTTCTTCAGACGCTGGAGAACACCAAAAGTCTCGGCTTTAATGAAGATAAAAGATCGCAGGAATTCTACTTCCTGCCTTAGATGCAAGATTAACTGACTGCGAAAAGTGCACAAACCTGAAGTACCACTGCAGTCGATAATACAGTAGATGTGCTAACTCATGAAATGTCAACCGAAATTTCGAAATGCGTTCTCGTTTCGAAAAGATAAATTAAGTAGTGTTGTAAAACTAATCATTATGCAGCATAAATCTATAACGATCCCGTTACCTCAGGGTGTCGGCTTTCGAAAGAACGTATTTTTGGCTGCATGCAAGATCTATACTCTACAAAAAATGACTACGTAAGTGGCATGCAATTTTCTGATTGATTTTCGATGCCCTGGAAAATTCAATTATATTTCATGGAAAACATGCATAAAAATATTCACTCTTTTAATTATTCGGTAGAAAATCAGTTTCATATTTAAACAAAAAGCATAATTCGTTTTTAAAAAAGTTTCTAATTGTGAGACTTTTTAATTCCGTTAAATGGCCGTTCATGAAACGTCATGTATCTGCATTTACGAATGTGGCTTGTAAAGTTAACAATATTGCTCAAATCCACTGCTTAATTTTATGAACCTCATATGGTCTCCTCTTAACACCATAGAGAAATGCATGGTTTTTCGTACACGGAAAATATACAGCTTGTAGTTTTGAAACCCTGAATGCAAGTGTAACAGCAGGTCGGGTTCAAAATTATGCGGGAATTAGAAAAGTTTTTTAAAACAAATTATAATCCTCTTTTGAGTATGAAATTGGAAGAAGACGTGATTTTCTACCGAATAAGTAAAAGAATGAATACTTTTATGCATGTTTTCCATGAAATATAATTGAATTTTCAAGGGCATCGAAAATCAATCAGAAAATTGCATGCCACTTACGTAGTCATTTTTTGCAGAGTGTAGATCTTGCATGCGGCCAAAAATAAGTTCTTTCGAAAGCCGACACCCTGAGGTAACGGGATCGTTATATATTTATGCTGCATAATGATTAGTTTTACAACACTACTTAATTTATCTTTTCGAAACGAGAACGCATTTCGAAATTTCGGTTGACATTTCATGAGTTAGCACATCTACTGTATCATTAATCAGTGCATCCAATTCCGAAATTTATAAGTAGCCATTCCACCATCTCCACCCACTTACGGGATATTATAAAACTTCCACTCAGAACTGTAAAAAGTTTCTAGAGGATTTCAGACGAATCACAATTTCCGCTGATGAGATAATGGTCCCTTTGAGGCTGTTTCTTTATTTACACCCATACCACTAGGCTTAGCAAGGCAATTCACATATGAATTGCCAAAGTCCTACGACACGGATGTTCAGGCAGCTGCCTTATTTACTTCAGAATCCTTTGCTTAGAAACCTATTTTTCGGTCGACCACAAGTAAAAGGAGCTCCAATGGAATCACGTACACCTGGCTTTCTTGCTGAAGTGACAGTGCAAAAACTAGAATCTACGGCCCTTCCAGTATTTAACCCTAAGTTGTGGGTACGATATGTAGGCAAACATTTGCTGTCGTTAAAAGGGATTAGCCGGAGGCGTTCCACAACACCTTCAACTCAATCATTCAGGGAATTAAATTCACAATCGGGAAAAAATTTGACACTGCACCCCCATTTCTGGACATTCTCGTAAAAAGAAAGGCTGACGGAAGACTATACACGCCTGTTTACCGCAAAAAACCTACGGATGTATTTCTACACCATGAGAGCAACAGCCCAATCGCTCACAGGCAGGCGTTAATCGTGAGGGGTTTATTGGAAGTCCGAAGTTTCGGGTAGTTAGTTCGTCTACCCATCTTCAGAGACTGGGAAGTCCTGTGCACAGCTCCCCTTACATGGCGCAGTTTGTTTAGTGTGTGACCCGCCAATGCCGCCTGTGTGGCTGCATCCGATAAACCCCTCCCCGTAAACGCCTCTTCTTTATCTGATATGCCACATGAGAATCGCATTTTCACTACTATTACGGCCAACAGTCTTCTACATCGGGCAAAATCACATTGCCCTAACGAGAAAAACTACCGAGTTGAGCTAAACTACCCGTTTCAATTATTTTTCCCCGAGTGATTACCCTACAGATATCGTACGTCGATGCATGAAATAGTAAGAGTTAGGAGAAAAGAAACCAGATCGTTCCAATCCAGCGCCCAAAGTAAATACCTAGCGAATCCTATCGTATATCAGGAATGTGCCTGAACTCGTTGAAGGACGCCTGAAAAAACACCAAATAAAAGTGCTGTACAAACCGACGACTACTTTAGGTACTCAGCTTATATTTAACTTGAAAAGAAGGAAGTCGGCGGCAGGATCCCATGCATGCCAGTGATGCTGCATATTGTGGCCAAACGGGAAAATTTGCCTCTAAACAAATCCGCGAACGCCAACTGGCAGGAAGGAAGCGAGACCATCTGTCTCCAATGGCTCTGCATGCCCTCGATATAAAGCACACTTTCACCTGGGACAAAACTCGCATCGTCGGAGTTTGCCCATCTTAAAAAGGCCGAGAGTTTCTTGAAGCTATGCACTCCGGTGAGTCATGCGTCAATCACCATGGTGGGTCATACGCCGTGCACAAAAATCTCAAGGAAAAATGGAAGAGACGAGAACCAAACAACACAGACTGCGGCACACGGCTGCCGCCTACCAGCGCAACCACTGGATGAATATCGATTTCTTAAGCACGTTTAAAATGTTTACTATTTTTGCACATTTAATCAAGTGTGATGATAACTGCGGGAACCAGCGTCGAAAATTTACCTAATTAAGTTTCCAATTTCTTCAAAGAGCGCACTTGCCTGTAAATTAATGTCTATTGTGATGCCTGCCTTCCAATACGTTTATCCATGCATGAACTAAATTAACAAAACAAGCATTCATAGAAATTTAATTAGGAAGATGAAATTATCTGGGAAACTATATCGTTTATTGTGTAAATTTTCGAGGCTAGTCTTCCAGCTCGTCGTCAATCTATGGCTATGCAAGAACAATTAACTTCCTACCTGTGTCTAACTATGGGTCCTACGATTGGCCAATGTCTGTGCCAATACATGTTAATCGCGCCTTGTCAGTTCTTCAAGATTTGTTAGGCTAGTTTAAATTTGTCCTTAATGATTTCGTATATGAGATCCTAATCAATGCCTGCCTCATCTGAGTGGATGTGTTCCAAAAATTCAAGACCTCTCCTGATTGGCATTGTAACGCACAAATTTGTGTCCATTGTGTGCACGGCCGCCTGGGATAGATAGTCGCGTCTCTTCACCGTTAACCGGCGTTTGCGTATACGGCTCGTGACAGATTTCCCAGTTTGGCCACGGTAGGCAGCATTATAGCTAGTACGTGGTATTTTATAGGCAAAAATTTCTCTACTGAGGTAGCCAACCCTGTCCTTATGGTGTACAAGTTGTGTGCGTAAGATAGTTGCCGGCTGTTGTGTTATGCATGTCTGATATTTCTTAGCTGCCTTTTAACTGACTCAGATACATTTTTCACGCATGAGATAGTTCGCCAGATGATTGGTTTTGGTGCTGGAGCGGCCTTAGCATTGGAAATTCCTTTCTCTTGGAATTTCTGATGTGTCACACACTAATGTACAAAGCACCGGGCACCCATTTTTGGAAAATACTTTGCAGAAGTATTTCATTTCTGCCGATACAAGCGAAGATGCGAGTTCCAGGAACTAGTTGATCAGAAGAAGAAGCGATCGCTGGAACAGGGACTTTATTCGCCTGACGTTTCGGATTCTCACTTGTGTCCATCATCAGAGACAGTGGCAGAAAAGGGTGACTCGTGCACAGGAAATTGCAGTATTTATAGGATCCAGTCGCTATGCTACCGCATACCTATAGCAATTAACCACGCACCCCTTCATGAAGTATCGTTGCCCGCTGGTGCGCTAATTGCTTGATGGCCGGCATGATTGTTAATCGCCGAAATGTCATCACCCGTGTGAGATGCTGGCGTGATGATTGCTCGGTCATCTGGCTCACCGGCTTGCGCGGTCCCCGAGTGGTAAATTACCTTGGCCAGCCTATGCCTCAGCACGGAACATGGAGTGGGGATGTCGTTGCACTTGTTGATAGACTGAGGTCCCGAGAACCATAACTCAAGCAACTCGCGGCTCATGCGATTATCCCCTCTCGCGATAATTTCGGCCTCATCGAACTTCAATGTGTGGCCGGGTCTCGTCGAATGGGCCGCGACTTGAGAGTTGGCGTCGTTTCTCCGTACCGCTGCCGCGTGTTCGGCAATTCGCGTTCGGAGCAGTCTTCCAGTTTCTCCGACGTAGTTGCTTTGTCCGCAACTTCACCAGGTCCGGTAAACGACTCCAGATGTTTCTTGCCGTGGCAGTGGGTCTTTTGGTCTCATCACCTGACGCCTCATGGTGGCCTCCGGTCTGTGTGCTACTCCAACCCTAAGTGGTGCAAGAAGGCGGCTAACGGCCTCGGAGACGTTCTTGATGTACGAGATCGCTCGCCAGAATTTG